ATCCATGTGTGGAAAATAACAACCCCGACTTCGAGAAGGCGAGTAATTGACACATCCGAACTTCTTCTCTGCCGGCGCTTGACGCGTCGCGCGCGTCATTGGGAACCCATCGTCTGAACCTGTTAACACACAATGGAGTAAACCAAGCCACAGGGATTTGAAAAGAACTTACAAACCTAATCGCCTAACATGGGTAAAAAGCGGAAAAGACCTATCAAGGACCGTGGGCCCACGTCCTCGTCTCACATGGGTATCACCACATCTCCCCGCCGTTTCAGAACCCCCCATGCACCAATTTCCCTGGGAACAAAAACAAGCCATCCCGTTATCTCCCTGTACTACCGACACGTTGTACCCTTGCGGGAGTACCTGCTCCAGCGACTTCCCGTGACCTCCAAGTCGCGTCGGCGCCGTATCCTGGCATTGAACTCGCGTGAAGACCAAGAGACCAATGCACAATCCCAAACATTGGCGGAGCTGCTAGACTCCACCTTAGTGGGTGTGCTCAAGGAATCTTCTCCGACTCTCAATTCGGAGCGACAAAAGCAATACTCCTCTTTTAATGAGTCTCAATCGCGGTCGATTCTCATCAGCACCGATACGGGGCCGGCCTGTCCGCAGTCTGAGGTGCGTCCATGACAGCCGAATCATTTCTAGGCATCAGGTTGCTAACCCTTGTTGCAGGTGGTTGATTTTGTGATCTGGAAACTCTTCAATAATGACAATGGCTCAAAGCCCCAGCATTTGCTGACGCATGGCTTTCAACGCCCGTCTATGGTGCGGAATGCCCAAGAAACTAGTATTCCAGGCATTGTGTCTCAATTTCCGAATCAGAACGTTCAGGTCCTCAAAGGCGGTGCATGGGCGGAGGTCATTGACTTGCTTGGTAGCAATGGGGAGGAGATTATAATGCAGCTCCTTTTCGATTGTGGAGTTTTTGCCGCTATCAACGCTCGAAAGGGCATCTACTACCAACTCAGCGGTATGGCTTTGCCAAGACCTAGAGAGAGAATTGAACCTAATTCACTGATATTTTCTAGGTCTACCGCTCTCGGACCTTGAGCCTTTGAGCGACGGGTCCTCAGTGGCCAATAGGTCTGCTGCCACAGCACAAGACCCAATACCTACAACTGATCAGAGACATCCCAAAGAGAAAGCTGAACGCAAACCGAATTCCGATAAGACAGTCCGAAGCCCAAACAGCATTGTGTTTCTACGGCGGCGTATCCTCTATGGGCGTGTCGAGTCCAAAAAGAAAATATCCTCTGGACTAGGACAGATACGTATGTGCTTCGCCGTTTGAGTATCGAAGTCTAGGTTTGTGCTAATTCCCACCCCAGATGTTCTTAACCGCTTCTCGTCGCTTGATTCAATGGAGCAAACAGTCCATGTAATGAAGTACATCTTTCCCCGGCAATTTGGTCTGCTGAATGTGTTTATGCTGGACTCAGATGGACGCAAAATTATGGACGACTCGAAGAGTTTCATGTTCCGTGAGAGTGAGATATCTCAGCTGGAAGAAGAGAAACGAGTACAGCGGCCCCAGCCCGAGATTGAATTCGCAGACGCAGACCATGGCGGTGCGAGAAATGTCAAGGTACCTAAGAGGCTTCGTGGAATTACTGTGGAGCTTGCCCGGAAGCTCCGGAAACGCAATGCACAATGCTCCTACGCGGAGTTGCTGCGACACTATTGTCCAACCGAAGTGAGACACTTTTGTTTACCTTGGCTAGGATTTTGTAGCTGACATTTGGCAGCAAACCGGACCCAGGAGACTTGGCGCATTTGCCTCCACGCCTGATGCCAAAAAAAGCGAGCCTATCTCTCTCCAGTCAAATCTAGTAACACAGGTGCGAATTAACCACCCATCGCCAAGTGATAGTTCGGCGCAGACCTTATGTGATGCCTCGAGGTTAGAGCCGCACACGGCTGTCGATGCATCTTGTGAAATCGATGCTAAGGATCCGGTGATTCGAAAAGCTCCAGTCAACCTAACTGATTATGCAACTCCGGCGTCTTCTGTCTCAGCATTCTGTCGAGCGCTGATCCAGAGATTGATCCCCAGACAGTTTTGGGGGGTTGGACCGGATGGTATATCGAACTTTAAGCTCGTTCTCAGGCATGTTGACCGGTTTATCAAATTGCGCCGATTCGAAAGTCTAAGTTTGCACGAAGTCTGCAAAGGTGTCAAGGTTGGTCATTATTTTCCCTGGACTGATCGTCTGAGACATGACCGTACTGATCCACACACTAGATAACAAGCATTCCTTGGCTGGAGCCACCCCACGTCCAGACTTCTTCAGCATCTGAGACAAGATCGAAGATCGCCCTGTCCGACTTGAACAAACGCACCGAACTACTCCATGAATTCATCTTTTGGATTTTCGATTCAATTCTGATTCCTCTCATTCGTTCGCACTTCTATGTCACCGAGTCTCAAACGCACCGAAATCGCCTTTTCTATTTCCGCCATGATCTGTGGCAGCAGTTGACCAAGCAACCTTTCGGGGACTTGAAGGCAATGATGTTCGAGGAGCTCGAGCCAGATCAAGCCCAACGTGTGCTGGCGCGGCGGTCACTTGGTTTCGGTGCTCTCCGGTTGCTTCCCAAATCTACAGGCCTCCGGCCCATCTTGAATCTTCGCAAACGCGCCCTGAAGGAATCGTCATGGGGGAAACGGAGGACGTACCTTGCCGCCAGCATCAATTCAAGTATTACGCCTATCTATAATATATTGACCTACGAGGGCCAGCAAGCTCCTGCCAAATTGGGCTCATCAATGCTCTCCATTGGAGACATGCACCGCCGATTGAAGGCGTACAAAGAACAATTGTCCAAACGACTGCCCTCGGTTTCTAAATCTTGGAAATCCAAGCTCCCACAGATGTACTTTGTCAAACTTGACATCAAAGCTTGTTTTGATACCATACCCCAGAAAAAGTTGCTTAATCTTATCGCAGAGCTGGTCTCTGAAGAGAGCTACCACATCTCGAAGCACACCGAATTCCAACCCGCTCTTACTGGGCAACAAGGAAAGCCTATGCGAAGATTCATGAGCCGCGCTGCGCCTGCGATGAGACCGCAACACCTACCGGATTTCGTCAATAGCGGAGGCGCGGCGCGAAAGGCCAACACTGTTTTTGTTGATGACTCTGTACGTCAAAAAGAACACGATGCTGATAGTCTTCTGGACCTCCTTGATGAACATGTCCGCCACAACCTCGTGAAGATAGGCAAGAGATATTTCCGCCAACGCAACGGCATCCCTCAGGGCTCCGTGCTATCCAGTATCCTTTGCAATTTCTTCTACGCCGAGCTAGAGCGAGAGGTTCTGGGCTTTATAAACAAGGACTCTCTGCTCCTGCGACTCGTGGACGACTTCCTGCTGATCACACCGGATGCAGCCGTGGCAATGCAGTTCCTGGAAGTAATGATCCGGGGCCAACCATCGTACGGCGTACAAGTCAATCCAGCCAAAAGCATGGCCAATTTCAGCGCAGTGATTGACGGGATCTTGCTCCCCAGACTCGAAGGGACTCAATTATTCCCGTATTGCGGTAGTCTCATCGACACGCACACACTTGAATTCCACCGCGATCGAGACCGCATACTAGAGGGGGGCGAGTCAGCTGCTGCTACTCTTTCCAACACCTTAACCGTTGAGGCCGCCCGCTTCCCCGGCCGCACCTTTCACCGGAAAGTGCTCTCCTCATTCCGCCTGCAGCTACATCCCATGTACATCGATGACGAACACAACTCGCGCACAGTTGTGCTAGCCAACCTCTACAGCAGCTTCATCACTTCTGCCATGAAGATGTACCGCCATATGAAGTCGCTCCGGGGCCGTGCGCACCCCGGCCCTGCCATCATAACACAGACGATCCGCGATCTGATTTCTCAGACGACCGGCACGATCCAGGCTCGGCGTGCTGGTAATTCGGAGTCTTCATTCTCTTGTTTCGTCCAGCGCTACCATCTGCAGTATCTGGCTTCTGCGGCCTTTCGGTTTGTTTTGAAGCGCAAGCAAACGCGGTATGCGGTGGTGCTGCGCTGGCTAGACTCGCTAACGAAAGATTCTCGACCCACATCAGATTCCGAGGCTTTAAGGATGGCGCAGGTGGTGAAGAAGGGAAATGCGATGTTTGAGGAATGGCGCTTCTAGAATAGTTCTATGGTGCTGGGCTGTGGAATGCCTGCAAATCCAAACGGTGTAATTGTGTGACCAATTGCTCTCAACCTGTACCCGTGGACAATTGTACCAATTAAATAAGTTCATACTGTGCTACGTCTAGTCAGACATCCAGCATTGGGTACAAATCCGACTAAATCCGACTAGAAGAGATCATGGTTCAGGGGTTCAGATTAAGATATGTGCGCGATCAGATACTTGAAAGGCTGTGTAGGTTATCCCTTCCCATCTGGGCAGAGATCTCATCCAGAATGTATTGAATACTTACTTGGTACTTCCGGATAAGCATCTTTGCACTAGTGGTGCGAAGTATCGCCGAGGTACCCCCCTGTTCTCGGCCAGACCGAGTGCGGCACTGCCTGAGGCTCTCCGCTTGCAGTCTTGAGCATCACGGTCTCTTCTTTTCACTCTCTTTTGGATCTTGCCTTCGTCTTTCGTTTGAATCTTTTACTTCTTTTCTGTGTACTTTCATCCCCACACTCATTTCTCCCCTTTTTTGTTTACATTTTGAACCTCCTGGGCCCCCAATGGTCACCCCGTAATCGCCTCTCCTGATCCCTCTTTACACCACTACACCTGATCTGGATTTCATCAGGCTGCGGCTGTGCCTGCAATTCGTTTCTTCATTAATCGGCTTCTATTGCGGTGTTATTGTTTCCTGTCTCAAACCCGTCGACCATTCTCATCCAAAAGCCCCGATACTCGCGTCCGTTGTCGACCCCTTCCGGATATCTCGTCGCTTTACTGCCTGTGTTTTTCCACCCAGATCAGAGTTGCGGAGGATCAATACGTCTAATAATTACATGAGATCATGACCACCGTTTGCCCAACACCCAATTCTCCCCCCGAGCTCTCCGGGTCCAAATCCTCCAAATCCTCCTCGTTTCATTCCTCGTCCCACCCGGACGGCCCGGACAGTATCTTTACGGACATCTCGAATTTCGAAGACATTGGCTTGGAAGATGATGCCGATTTGTCATACGCCGATCCACCAGTCTCCTACGGCCGCTCTGGCGCAATGGCACGATCGCCCGCCGCCAGAATGTCAAGCAAAGTCCCTGCGACCTCAACTCGCGACTTGACCGCGACCCCGAAGCCTCGCAAACGAAGCCCTCTGCCCCCGCTTCACAGTGGATCGGCCAATTCGCCGGCGGGCTCCCTCGCAGCGAGAGCTGGAAACCGGAGAGGTTCGAGCAACACATTGCAGTCACCTGGTTTGACACCATCGCAAGCTCACCGTTCACGATCCGTCTCACCGCTACGGCCAACATCCAGTCGCTCCGCCTCGAGCACCAGCCTTGCTCTGTCTCCGCTATCCGCACGAGTACCCATCCAGAAACAAACCTGGCAACCGAATCGCAAGTCGCTTAAAGAACTGGAGGAAGAATACCATGACTCGGACGATGAACTACCGGACGATGCAAGTCTATGGAATATTCCTATTTCTCCTCGCCCAGTGCAAGATCGGACTCCATCGCGGCCTGCTAGTCCAAATGGGCGCAGTCCCGGGCGGCGACCATTGCCTATCCAGCACACCGTAGCAGGAAGCGATAAGGCAGCGTCACCCGAAAACACAGCCAAGGCATCCCGCATGAAGCGTATACAGCGATCGAGCTCCGCAGGACCGGAGCGTGGACAAATCTCGCCACGCAATCCTCGTACCTACTCGTATAACAGTTATCTATCTGACTTATCCGAGGAAGCAAAGATCATCACTGAAGCTCTGGAGCTACATGCTGATGATAGAGATCGCAAGCGGGAGGAGCATATACAAACCGGTGCTCCGCGAAAGTCCAGCGAGGACTCGCATCGCACATCCCGTGAAGCTGTCGCTTTACCGCCGCTGCAGAAATCAAATATCATGATCGATCCGCTGCCAATTAGCAAGGAGAAAGAAAAGGTCCTGACGCGGACACGCCCAAGCTGGCTTCCGCCCAAGGACCAGAAGGAGGAGAGAAAACACCTGAAGCAGTATCAGCAAATGATGGCCCAGTCTCGAGAAAGCGGTATGTCCTAAGACAATATTCTTGAAGTATTATCGGCCCTCTAATTTGTATTTCAGAGAAACGCAAAGCTGCCAAGGATGCAAATGTGCAGTGCGAAAAGGACAACACCCGAGTAACACTGCAGAACATCTGGGATGAATACGTGTATCCGAATTGGGACCGTGCTCTCAGCGAGCCCCGAATTCGCGAGCTATGGTGGCGTGGAATTCCGCCTCGCAACCGGGGCACCATATGGAAACGAGCCATTGGCAACGAACTAGCATTAACCGAGGAAACCTTTACCAAAGCGCTGCTCCGAGCAAAGGACCTCCGAAGCAAGAAAGATGGAGAAAGCGAGAGTAATAAACGACTACTGGACTGCTTTGAGGCAATCGAAACAGACGTACCGAAGGCCTTCCCAGATCTGAACCTCTTCCAAGAAGGCGGTCCACTGCGGGAAACCCTCATTGACGTCCTGCAAGCATACTGCATGTACCGCAGTGACGTAGGCTACATCCACGGCCTGCACACCATCGCCGGCCTCCTCGTTTTGCAATTCCCAACCCCCGCTTCCGCCTTCCTCGCCATGGCCAACGCCCTCAACCGTCCTTTACCCGTCGCGTTCCTCACCTGGGACCGTGGCGCCATGGCCCGCTCCTACACACTAGCCTCGGACACCTTGCGCTACAAGTTCCCCCGTCTACACGCCCACCTGACCGAAACCTTCCAACTCTCGGAGCCAGAGATCTGGGAGCCGATCTTCCGCTCGCTGCTGACAAACGGCCTGGACCTCGAGCGCATCTCCCGCGTCTGGGACTGCTGGGTCTTCGAGGGCGACCGCATCATGATCCGCTCCGCCGTCGCCATTCTGGGCTGTCTCCAGGCGCAGTTGTTCTCCTTCCACCAGACGGATGACCAGTCCCGTATTGCTGTGCGTGACGTGCTGGGCTGGGGTCCCCGCAATAATGGAGTAAACAGCCAGAAACCTAAAGAGCGACACAGCGCCCCTGCCGCAGCTGGCTTTGGTGGTGGGCAGATCGAGAACCCCGGCGTTGCTGATTATTGGGTTCTCACTGCTGCAGGCGACGAAGATGGGTTTATGAATGCCGTCCGAGAGGCCGGGAAGGTGCGGCAGCAGACTCAATAGGCTTGCTGGATATGACACGCGCTGTGTTTGGTTGAGCGTTCAGAAACTGTAGGCTTTGGCCTGCCAAGCCCTCAGTCTGCCCCCAGCCTTTTCTTTGTCTTTCCTGTTTTTCCTCCTTGCCATACCCAACTATCACGATGCCTCATCAATCTTGACATCCACTCACTATCCCAGAGAACGCATAGCACGACATCACAGCCTGGCCAACGTGTCTGCTGGCCTTACTTCCTACCCCGTATACGCACATGTCACTCGCTGCACAGCCGTTTTGTCTATTCTCTGTATCTTGGACTGCATGAGAACCACTCGTTTCTCCCTTCTCATTATATTTCTTCCTTTTTTCCCACCCAGGAATCCCACTGTTCTTAGCTCATTGATTGCACTTCTTCCTGTTTTCCCCCTACTTCTCCATCTTGTATTCTTAGCCATCCTGACTTTCATGCCCTGATGCAATCGCTGTCTTCATCGTTGGTACGTACTTGTTTAGTGGTATTACAAACAATTCAGGTCTTTTTCCATCTTTCGATTGTTTTTACTAGGGAAATATGCTACCTTTGCACACTTGTTGAGGTAGTGTGTTGGTCCACGGGTGGACCTCGTTAAACTTACTGACTGACTACATCTAGATTTCTCGAGGAACAAAGCCCCGAAGAGGGTAGAGCCGTATGAAAGGATACACATAGAAAAGGGATATGTGTCAAGTATCACACTTTTGATTGGTAGGTAGTACATTCATTATATCCAGGGGCAAGAGCCTCTATTGGCATCTTTCCCCTTCGTTCTTTCCAAAGCCATGAAATCATCGTGACAACCGAGCTATCAACGTCGAAATATTGCATGTAATTACAAATGACCAAGCAAAGCACCCGAGGTAGGGAGCGACTAAGTAACGAAGCAAGCCAATGTGCTCTATGATAAGTGTACGATGTGGCTAAGGTGGTTTAGTGAAATTGCACATATCTTTGGGATTTTCTTTTCCAGCTGGGTTTTTTCATAGGTAACCATTTCCAAAGTGTGATTACCACGAAGCCCAGGCGACAGGTCCCTTGGGGAACATTCTGACCAAGACCTTGCGCAGTTCATCCATACAGAGGACGCCCATTGCAAGACCAAGCGGGATACACCAAAACTCGATTGGGACCGAGGCGGTGCTGAAGAGGTCCTGGATGCCCGGTACTTCAGTGACGAAGATAGCGATGATCAGCGAAATGAGAATCGCCAGAGGCAGCCACGGATTGCGACGGGCTGGCCGAATCGGATCAGCTTGAAGGAGGGACATGCGCTTGCTGCGGACAGACAAGACATTGCCCCATTGCATGATGACCAGGGTGACGAAGTAGACAGACTGACCCACGCTGACAAACTTGGTCAATTCGTCCCCGGTGTATCCGTGAAAGCCGTCGGCATAGCCCTCAAACGCAAAGATGAGGTCGGAGAAGGGGATACCGGCGTGGCGCCACATGTACAGGAAAAACATAGCGTGGGCACTGAAGGTTTCCATAACACCGACGAACAGGTAGGACTGGCCGTAGATGCGGAGGTTGATGAGATGGTCTTTTGTTGGACGGCGTGGGGGGAGGCTGAGGAGGTCGAACTCTTCTTTCTCCATGATGAGTGAGAGAGACACGAAGAGATCGGTGAACACACAGATGATAATCATGAGAAAGGTGCTGAGCGGCGCAGGACAGCCAAAGAAGACGTTCATGAGAACGGGCCAGATCTCGGACCAACTACCTGCTGGGAGTAGGTAGGCGATCACCTTTTGCAGGTTCTGGAAGACCAACCGACCAAGACGAATGGCCTCAATAATAGAGTCGAACTTGTCCAAGAGGACCAGATCCGCTGCCTCGATTGCAACGTCGCTGCCGGATCCGACCGCAACACCCACGTCTGCTGCACGCAGGGCTGGGGCATCATTGACACCATCACCTGTCACAGCAACCACGTAGCCACGAGCTTGGAGCTCTGTCACGATCCGAAGTTTTTGCTCAGGTGTTGTGCGAGCAAAAACAATCTCATCGTAGCCGCACACGGTTTCCCAGTCCTCTGAATTCAACGATGACAGGTTAGGTCCTTCGAGAAGCAGGCTGTGTCGTGACTTGGGAACTTTGATTTCCATTGATGGGTCGAGGCCGTCCCTCAGTTCTTCGATAGTATCTGGCTCCGCTTGTCCGTCATAGATACCAATCTCACGAGCGATGGCAGCCGCGGTCAATCCGAAGTCACCGGTAACCATGAAAAAACGGATACCCGCCTTGCGGCAAGCTGCGACAGTCGAGGCAGTCTCCGGGCGTGGTGGATCAACAATGCCGAAGATACCGAGAACTGTGAGATCCTGCACACCATGGTCTATCATCTCATTGCTGAAATCGTTAGAACCGGGGGCAGAGCGTGGAACGTAGCGACGTTGGCAGATGACAATCACCCGCTCTGCGCGGCGTGATAGTTTAGCCTGGAAGTTCGAGAATTTTTCCCGCGCCTCGCCATCTAGTGGACGGACTGCATTGTGAACAGCAGACCAGTAAGTGGCGCAACGGTCCAGCAGCACGTCTGGTGCTCCCTTGACGTAGAGAATAAACTCCTTAGTAGATTTTGGATCACGATGTAGGGTGAGCATCCACTTGTTCTTCGAGTTGAACGGAATCTGATGCACGCGTTCATATGGAGCCAGGGTAGTCGGGGAGGTTAGTCCAACACTGTCCCCAAATCTCAGAACTGCTGCATCTGTAGCATTGCCACTAACAGTACGTTCATGGATGGGCAAATTCATCGTGGTCGGGTCGAACGTGGCGTCATTGCACAAAATAGATGCTTGCAGCATATTTCGTAGGCCTTCAGGAAGATCAACAGTCCCGAACTCGCCAGGAAGTAAATCCTCGAGACTGTATTCCCAATCAACCATTCCTAGAGACTTGACAAACATGCGGTTTTGAGTGAGAGTGCCAGTTTTGTCGGAGCAGAGTACATTCACACAGCCCAGGGTCTCAACAGTTGACAGACCCTTGGGCAAAATGTTGGTCTGTTTCATCCGCTTGGCAACCATCATAAGGGTCAAGGCGACGGCGACAGGCACTCCTTCAGGGATGAAGGCAACGATACACCCCATGACGTTGTTCAGCATGGCTACGACACTCATGTAGGAAGGGTGATCTCGGCGCAGCCATCCTAGCCAGGTGAAGAGGATCAGCAAAGCCAAGAAGACTGTAAGAATGACAATAATTGTGACGAAGCGGTTGATCTCGCGTTGGATCAAGGTTGACTTTTGCTTGACACCAGCTGTCATCGACGCAATGCGACCCATCACGGAGCGAGAGCCGGTCAAAACGACAATACCAATAGCATTCCCATTAGTGACGCCGGTTCCCATAAGGGCAATATTGCGAGTCTCCAAGAAGTTGGTCTCGGTGCAATCAATGGCGCCTTCAACCTCGTCCGACTCGCCTGTCAGTATAGCACGGTCAAAGCGAACATCTCCCGAGCTGGATAAAAGGCGCATGTCGGCTGGGACCTTGTTTCCCATTCCAATGTGAACAATGTCACCAGCGACCAGTTCTGTGGCAGGGAGACGAATGAGCTTTTCATCCCTCATCACCATGGCTTCAGCGGGGAGGAGATCTAAGATCGAGTTCATGACACGCTTGGTGGACCAATCTTGGAAAGCTGAGAAGCTTGCCTGCAAAGCAATGACAATCAAAATGAGGACAGCCATGGCAAGGTTCTGAGCCGAGGGTGGGTTGCTGAGAGGCCTCCAGCAAATGAAGAAGATGACAACTCCCACCCAAAGAACAGAGCAGAATCCACCAAAGACGTAGAAAAAGATCTTCTTGAGATAGCTCTCCCTGTGATGGGCAATGACGTTCTTGCCTTCTCGCTGCAAACGTGTGGCCGCAGAGGAAGAGCTTAGTCCAGTACGCTGATCGACATTGAATTCTCGACACAGGCTGTCTGTGGATATAATATGGAAGTCCAAGTCCTCGAAGTAGTCTTGATGGGGCTGCTTCTCCTTTGTGGTATTGATAATAGCCTCTTTGGGGGCATTCTGGGATTCTGAGATCTGGATGGAGATGGTTCGGAACTCAATTGGCAGCTCAGGCATTCCCTGAACGCTGCTTCTGGTGCTATGGATGGTATCACGACTTAATGAGCGGGTCCGATTGAGCTGAGTCGGCTGGTAGATAGACCGCACCCCCTCTGCGGAGGTGGACCCATCGAAGGTGACCTGCGTGGAACGTCCAGGGCGCTCATCATCTTTGAGCTTATCACCTTCTGACTCGACATCGATGCCGTTCTTGTTGTTGTCTGGACTCATGGATGCCGTCGGCCGAAACAGATGTGTGGAAGAGAGGGTGGAGGATGGAGGAAATAGTATGCGAAGAGCAAGAAGAAGCAGAAGAAGACGATTGTAAGAGCGATGACAGTCCTGGAGGGAAAGCAGAGACTAATGAGAACGGCGAACAGTAGCTGAAGGGCCAAAGATAAAATAGTAGAGGTGCGACCGTCGGCCTTTTATATAGGCACCAGGGTGTGAGAGGCTCCGATACGTTTAGGCCGGAGCTGGTTAAGCTCATATATGAATTGGGAAGGTTCTCCCAGACGCAAGAAATGTTGTATCACGCAGCCACGCGAGTCCACGAGGGACCTGCTGCTTGTGGGAAATCGAATGAGGGAATAAAGGGAAGATTATATCCATACGGAATACATCCATAGGGGTCCACAGATACATGGTTACTTGAAGTGTAGAGGTTTATATGACAAACAGATGGTACCTTCCAAATATGTCGATATGACAGTGCTATATTACATACATATACCGTAATATTACTGACGGACAGGACCGCTGGCCAATCATTAACGAGAACCTATAGATATGTGACAATACAGAACGCAGCCCTAACCTTCCCCTCTGGTTCAGCTGCAACAAGTTAGCTGGATATGAAACAGAAGAGATTTCTTGCTTGTGGTAGTAAAATATAAGAACAAATGCCGCAGATTTCCTAAAACAGGCAATTTAAAGCAAGAAAAAAGAAGAAGGACACAGCCACGAAAGTGCGGTGTTAATTCCCGGCCATGAGGGATTTTTCCTCTCCACAGATTGACCACTCGATGCAGACTGGATTCAGACCTCACACTACTCCGTCACCTTCGCTAAGAGCGGCTTCAAAGGATTCGAAAAAAATTAATCGCTCTCTAAATGAGCAGTTTGTCCCGTCCAATCGTAAAATATCCCAGTTGACTCGAATCGAATTTAATCTATCCATGGGAAAGCTGTAATGTAGGGTGGCAGGCATTGGAGTTGAACATTCTCCCCCCGTGCAACCCTTATTCATCCTCCAACCAGGATCTGTAAGGGGGAACTCACTCATACTCCAGTTCCAGTCTATAAAAGGCATTGACTTGATGCCTTCTTGAAAATATGATTCTCTCTATCCAAATTTTTTGGAGTGCTCCCACGCTGTAACTATCTCAGTCTCCATATACAGAAAGGGACGACGCCACACTTGTACACCATTTGGTTGTCATGCGTCCTCCAGCCCAGACCGTCGATCATCATCACACCTTGATACGAGGGAAGCTCCCAGCTGAACACCACCTGTTCAAGGGTACCACTATCAAGGACAACAATCTACCCCTGTTGAAATCCCCAACGGACCAGCAGCCCTTGTTAAGCCAAGACTCATCGCCATCAATATCTACTCAATCACAATCACAATCTCCATCCCCATCGCCCAATCTCTCCTTCATAGACAAATATGGCCGTTATCGCCAGATGGTACACTATGGCTCGAACAGCACGACCCGTCTCCATGAAAGCAAAGTAAACAAAGCAAGCGATAATCAACTCGTCGCGATCAAAGTATACCGACGCTCTATTCTCAGAGGGGCCCCAAGCTCTTCCCACACAACATCCCTCCATCCAAGTCACCCCAACATCCTCCCAATCCTAGACATCCTCCACAACGAACGCTCCGAGCTCTGCCTGGTAATGCCATACTGCGCCGGCGGCGACCTACACACTCTCCTATCCCGCAAAGGGGCCCTCCCAACCCAAGAAGCGGACTGTATCATAACCCAGATTCTGCGCGCACTTGCCTCCCTACACGATCATGACACGGCACATCGTGATGTCCGTCTTGAGACTGTGCTGCTCACTGCCAATGGAGCCGTGAAGCTAGCCGGGTTTGGGGATGGACATATCCGGCGGATGTGGGAGGAGTCTGCTGAGGCCGGGGCAGGAGGAATACTTCCCCCGCGACCACAGCCATCAACACATGGTGCATGGTCGTTCACTTTACCATGGCCGCTGAATTCATTATGTCGTCAAAGTTCTGAGTCTTCTAGCAATGGTAGCCAGGCCGTCATTGCGAACTCACCCACCGCTTCCTTTGTGGGTATGAGACTCCCGTATATTCCCCCGGAAGAATTCGAACTTCATGTTCAATCCCAGTGTCGTGATGAACACGACAACCGTGGTGATTGTGATTCCCGTCCCGCTGATGTATGGGCCACTGCTATGGTTTACATGGCGCTCGTCACCGACCGGATTTTGTGGCGTAGTGCGCGTCCTAATCAGGAGGATGCACGGTATCTAGAGTACCTCCATTCTCGTAGGGGAGAGGATGGATACCCGCCACTTGAGGCTCTGGGGCAGGTATGTTATAGTATAATTTTGGAGGGCTGGGGTGCAGAAAACAAGTCACTAATATTCGGTCTCTAGAGACGGCGCAACGCTATCTATGCAATGTTGCACCCCTGTTCTCAGAAGCGTATTACAACTACCAAGTTGTTGCAATCAGAATGGATAAATAGTGTGGTGGTTTGCGAAGCGGGCGCGAAGGGATATTGAATAAGGCTGGAACTTGATACCCCCGTGTAATGCGTGCTTGGTGGCTTGAAGATGCTATATTACACATCTCTCTAATCATTCCTCGGGCTCAAATTAAGACATGCTTCTTTTGATATGTTCTTGGCTGTTTTTCAAATACCCTCAAACAGACAACAAATTTGTTATACGCAGAGTTAACTCTTACCATCCATCTCCCAATCACGCAGACCCAGCAGCAAGAACATACCCCCCATCAACAACAACTGTCTGCCCATTCAAGTACTGGTTACAAACCGCAAAAAGCACAGTACTAGCCATATCCTCATCCTTCCCAGGCCTAGCAGCAGGAACCTTCTTCTGATACTTCTCAGGCGGAAGGAAACTCTTCTGCATCTCATCGCTCTTCCCAGTAGTCATCTCACTGGGGAAAACGCCCGGCGAAATGTTATTAACCCTAACACGCAGCTTCGACGAGCTAACCTCCTGCGCAAGCATCTTGGTCAAATGGATCGCCGCCGCCTTGGAAGCATTATACGCAAAATGGTGCTGCGCGACCTTCACAATCCCCGATATAGAAGTCGTGTTGAGCACGGTGCTGGACCAGCCATGCTCGACCTCCGAGCCACGCTGCAGCAGCGGCAGGAATGCCGTTGTCATGAAGAAGAGCTGTGAGACGTTCGTGCGGAATACCGAGTCCCATTCCTCGAATGTCGCGGCTGGGCCTTCGAAGAGGGTTTCGCGGAGCTCGGAGGCGTCTTCGCGCTCGGTGTCTTCCGTCTTGCTGGATATTCCGGCGTTGTTCATTAAGATTGAGAGGTGGCCTTCCCGCGTGGAAATCTCGGAGACTAGCTTGCGGATCTCGTCTTTTTTAGTTACGTCGCCTGGGAGGGCGATTATCTTCCCGCTTATCTGGTTCTCGACGTTGTCGTAGAGTGTGGCTACACGGTCGAGTTTCTGTCCTGTGCGCCCGGTTATGTATACTTTGGCGCCGTTCACGGCTAATGCTTGCGCTGCCATTAGGCCTATTCCTGAGCCGCCGCCTGTGACGAGGGCCACTGGTGTTGTTAAAATAGGGTTGTTGGACTGGAGTGATTATGCGCAGCTCACCTTTGTCCTTCACATTAAATAGCTTTTCTAGCTTGAAGCTTTGGTTGCTTTCATTGGCTGCCATTTTGATCTCGTCTGGAACGGGGCATTTTCTGGTAGGATTTACTCTGAATTGACGAGAAGGTATGAGAGGAGAGAGCTTGGGTACTCGAATTGATGTTAGAACCGTTTGGTTCTTGAGAACTGGTACGTAGAATCGCGGCATGGCTGTTCGGCTGTTATACATAGGCGAGTAGAATGGGGATAAGTCATTACTTGTCGACGAAAGTAGGACAAAAGCCCAAAACTTGTTCTAGCGATATTTTACCTGTTGCGGCCATGAATCATTTGTAGGTCATATGTTGCTCCAATCAACAATTCCTGCTAGATCTTGAATATCAGAGCAGACGAACAGGGACTCATTTATATCAGAATGATGTCACTTCAATTGTATACTCAAACAGAAGACGTAGACGGCGTGGGGGTTTTTCATATTGGAAATATACGTACATAGCACCCGAGATAGAAGACAATATAGCATGGCCTGTATTAAAACCATCGTCACTGCCATGTAATTTGATGCTACAAAAGTCCGGAAGCCTAAAATGCGCGATATGCGTTCACAGCTTGGCCTTTGCAGCCAATGCCTCGCTGACCGGCGCTACCTCGACCATCATCTTACCGGTGTTAGCACCAGCGTAGAGGTCAACGAGACCCTGAGGCGCCGCCTCCAAGCCACCAGACACGATATGCTCTTTGCGCTTGAGCTTACCCTCGGCCAACCAAGAGCCGAGCTCCTTCAGTGCGACTGGGAATTGCTTCACATGATCGAAGACAATGAAACCCTTCATAGTGATCCGTTGCGACTGTCATCAATTAGCCGGAAGTCCCCCAAAATACCCCCAGACCCAAGAGAACTCACAATCACACTCATAAAACTGGCCGGACCCTGCGGCTTAGCAGCATTATACTGACTGATAGCGCCACAGATAGCAAAGCGTGAGCCAGTAGCCGCCCTCGCCAAGCAAGCATCAAGGATATCACCCCCGGTATTATCAAAGAAGACATCGATATACTCAGGCGTAGCGAGCTTAAGCTGCTTCCGCCAATCCGGTTCCTTATAATTGATCGCAGAATCGAAACCAAGCTCCCTAACCAAGAAATCACACTTCTCCTTACTGCCCGCCAACCCCACAACGCGCTTAGCGCCCTTAATGCGCGCAATCTGGCCAGCCACCATGCCCGTCGCGCCCGCAGCACCAGAGACAACAACCGTGTCTCCCTTCTTCAGCTGCGCAATCTCAACCATGCCGAAGTACGCCGTCAGCCCGGTCATGCCGAGCACGGACATTGCGTCCGTGGGCCGTCCGCCAGCAGGCACGGTTATCTTTTCTGCTTCTTTCGCGCTGACCACTGCGTACTCCTGCCAGCCGGAACTGGCAACAACCCAGTCACCCTTGCTGTACTTGGAGCTCAGACCGCTGCCTACGGAGAGGACTTGGGCGATGCTCTGGCCGCGCATCACGGCGCCTTGCTCGACCGGAGCGATATAGGAGCGTTTCGCGGTGAGCCATTGGCGCATGGCCGGGTCGAGGGAGAGGTAGTGCACTCGTACGAGAAGCTTGTCTGTGGGTACATCCTTGGGAATAGGGAGGGTATTTAGGCGGAACGTGCCGGTGCTGAGAGAGGGGTCGATGGCCGGGGCGGGAGGCGTGGTGTAGATGATTTGTTTGTTGGACATTTTGGAGGATGTTTAAGTGGGATTGTGAGTGCAGGGAGAAGCTGTCTTTAAAGAGCGAGGAAGAGGAGGTAGAGATATAAGAGTCTCTACGTAGTATCGGAGATGCTCCATATTAGGAAAACTGCTCCTTGGACCTCGGCTTGCCCCCGGGCCAAAGTAGAAGTGTTGAATAATCAATTTCTTTGGGGATGCATTATTTGCTTTTTATTTGGACATAAAAAGATATATGCATGCACCGCAGAAGATTTCAGCGATATACCCAGAGTACGATTAATACCAAGTCCATGATCGATGGATCTAATCTGCTTTTCATCGTGACGTCATAACCCAGGAAGTATAAACCGAAGCAACGAGTACTATGAGAGCCGCCTATTTCTCCTATAACACCACACCAAGGACAACTAATCGAATATAGATATATATATCTATATATATGTATATATATTTATACAATTATGTCACGAACCTACCAAAGCTACGAGCGCGCCGATCCAACCCACACCGCCCGCGGTGCAGTGGGTGGCGGCTCTTCAACTGGCGCCCCAGGCCTCCCAACAGGCCTCCGCGATACACGATCCGAGTACGATGCATCTAAGGGCTACAATCCCGCCACAGGAGCCAGTTACTCAAGATCATCAGCAGGCGGACCAACCCAGACCCGCCAGCGACCGCTCTCACCGTCGCCGTCTCGCAGCGATGACCGGATGATAAGGGAGGCACCGCTCCCGCACACGGCCAGCACGGCGCAGCGGGCGGAAATGGGGGATCGTTCGGCTTCTGGGTCTTGGGCTGCACGGGCTGGTGGGGGGTTTGGGGAAAAGGTGAAGGGCGCTGCGGCGTCGGTTCATGTAAGTTGGAATCTTCTTGGGGGAAATAGTCTGATTGTGGTATAGGGTGCTGGAGAGTCGTTGCGTGGGGCGTTGAATACGGCTGTTGATCGGGCTTTTGGGTCTAATGAGGGTGCTGAGCGGAATCAAGAGATTGCGAATAAGGGAGCGGAGGAGATTCGGTCTCGTCAGTTTACTGAGAACGGTAATAAATAACCTTGGAACCTACATACATATGTCTAGAAATAACAGGAAGATATTTCCAGAATGTACTATGAAACAAGTCATTATCACATGCAAATGAACGAACATCCGGATTCAAGACGATCATACATGTACATATACATATACGTATACGTAAGAGAAAGAGATACATAAATACATATGTAGGTACAATGCATGTAGTACATCAAGCCAAGCATCTAACCTTTAAAAATTCTTAAAAGATCTTATAGTTACCTAGGTAGTTAAGAGTTGTCAGGAGACATTTAACTTTTTATAAGTTAGAACGTTAGAACATCCGACGGACCCGAGAAGGGCTGTGCTGGTGGAACCCTTTGGGCATTTTATGATCAGAACATTCCAAAATAAAACAACTCTTCTTCAAAGTATATAAAGTATACATTGTACAGTATACAGACATAAGGAGCTTTCTACAATCTATTACTCCCCGTTTTGCGGCCCACATTTGTGCATCCAGCCAATGCCAAGCTTGGAGATAGTTGCACACTCGTACCTCATGCTTTGAACTGGTTTCAAGAGCTTCCTCTTTCCTCGGCATAAATCGGAATGGCCTCAATTCCCACCCACTCACCCCATTCCTCAGCTCTGGCCCCGGGAAGCGCTGCAACGACGGCCGCCTCAACACCCCCGCGGAAACAGGCATTGTACTCCTCGGAGACCTCCTCGAATCTGATCGTCTCGGACTCTCCCGTCCACTATTCATCTTTCTCCAGCTCCGACAGCGACGAACCACTCCCGCACTCGACCGAGGTCACCGATGAAGATGTCGCCGGCGACGTTGTGGGGGTTAGCATCGGGCGCGAGCAGAGCCGCATGAAGGCCCGAGCGACCCCCATGGAAGAGAAGAATCGGGTGCTGGAACACCAGGGGTCATATTTCACGACTATACCGGATCATATAGGCGAGGATGGTCTGTTTGCGTCGGAAATCACAGCCGAGCCAGAGTCAGTGGAGCCCCCGGTCGAAAATGCACCATCACCATCACCATCACCGCGCGAACGAAGGTCCGGACATAAGCCTAGGGCATCATACCCCTCCGCGCAGTATAAAGAGCCCGAGCCCGGACACCTTGCGCATGGCCCCCGCAGCGATCTGTTTGCTGCGGCTCCTGAAAAACCCGGGTCGAAAGATACAACCGTGAGTCAGCGGTCTGGCTTTGTCGGGGCCTTACTGAAGAACTCATTGCCTCGGCGACCGCGCGCCTGGTCTGGCGAGCTGAAGAGATTCCTGCCTGACCTGACCTCTTTGAGGAAACGGCCTTCTCTCCCGTTTCGTGGCCCCAATGGTCAAAACCGAGTCCGCAGCCAAACAGTAGCCCCCGCAGCTGAAGACAATTCGGGATTGCCGAAAAGAACTTCATCGCTGGTCCTGCCTTCGCCACCGTCACCTCTTGAACCAAGCGGCTCTAGCATTGACGATGACGCAGAAGCCGCTCAGCCGATACCTGAGCTGCGCTCACCAGATGAAACCTCGGCCGCAAAACATTCCTTCATAAGGAGGCCTAGTTCAGCGATGCCCGGTCGACCGCCAAGTTTGCGGAGGTCCTCGTCGGATCAATCGCTGTATCTGCGTGCGTCGTCAACGGCTTCTTCCCTAGAGCAGCGACCATTGTATGAGAATGTACATTCTCAGGTAAACAGTCGGTTCAAGGCAATCAAGGATAGTCTCCAAGACTCGAGTAGCAGGCTGCTCAGCATGCCTAATCTCCATCTGCAGGATATCCGCAATGACTGGGGCTCTCGTCCGTTCTTGCTAGAGCTTGGGAATGGTTCATCAAGTAACAGCAACGGTGTGTGCGGTACTACCAAAGCGGAACAAGCACCGCGGGCTGCGACCCCGCCGGTAACTCCGCGGAACAATTCCAACATAACACATCCAATCTTGGAAGAAGCAATGGCAGATCTCACGGGCGATGTCGTGATTCTAGGAGGCTACCGAGGATCAATCCTCCGGTCTGCTAAGCCACCCCATCGTCAACTTTGGGTGCCGATGAAGGTCGGCCTGAATCTGCGGAAAGTGGACTTGGAGGTCGGTCTAAACCCGGAGGACGAGGAACGCATGGAGGAGACAATCATTCCATCTGGGGTTCTCTCCCACGTCGGCCCGGTGGATGTCTGTCGACGGTTGATGAAGCGTTTGCGCAAGAGCGAAAATGCCCTGCGTGGTGATTTGCGCGTCCACGATTACGGATATGACTGGCGTCTAAGCCCCGAGCTGCTCTCGCGCAGGCTCATTGCCTTCCTAGAGAGTCTGCCATGCAACCAGGAGCCTTCACCGGGGGAGCCCCGACGCGGCGCCACAGTCATCGCGCACAGCCTGGGCGGTCTTATAACCCGACACGCCGTCAACGAGCGACCTGATCTTTTCGCCGGAGTCGTGTACGCAGGCGTACCACAGCACTGCGTGAATATCCTCGGACCACTCCGCAGCGGCGACGACGTCCTCCTCAGTTCCCGCGTGCTAACAGCCCAAGTAAACTTCACCTTCCGCACGAGCTTCGCCCTCCTCCCAGAAGACGGACACTGCTTCATCGACAAGCGAAGCAAAAAAGAATTCCGCATCGACTTCTTCGACCCCAAAACCTGGGAAGACCACCGTCTCTCTCCTTGCCTAGGTCCAGCTCTCCCCGCACCGCCAACCCCAACCACCCTGGGCTTCAAAGACATCCCCATAATCGGCAAGCGCTTCTCCATGGGTCCGCGCGACGACTCCGACGAACTCCACACCCAAGACCTACACAACCTCCCGCAAGACGGACACTACATCGCAACAGACAACACACCACAAAACCCAGCTTCATACGCCGCATACGCAGCGGAAAAGGCCGGAAACCCGGCCGACGGGTTAGTCGGACCGGGCGCACAACCGCGCAGCAGCGCCACAACCTCCAAAATCGCCACGACGAGCACCATCCCGCGCGCCGCGGCGAGGGAGTACCTGCAGCGCACGTTGGAAGACACGAAGCGGTTCAAGGCGAACCTGGCGTTCCGGCCGACACACCATTCCGAAAACAGATACCCGCCTGCGGCGGTGCTATACGGGAAGACGTTGCCGACTGTGTACGGGGCGCGGGTTGTGTCGCGTGAGAGTATTAAGCAGGTTGATGCGTATGATGATCTTGCATTCGCGGCTGGGGATGGGGTTTGTCTTGCTTCGGCTGCTATGTTGCCGCCTGGGTATAGGATCATTAAGGATGGGTTGGTGAAGAGTGATCGGGGGCATGTTGGGTTGCTCGGGGATCTTGAGGGGGTTGGGCAGTGTCTTAGGGCTATTCATCGGGGGAGAAAGGAGGGGGTTGGATTGGGGGAGAAGGAAATATGAGGGTTTGGTGTGGTCTTTTCCTTTTGGTTTCTGGTGTTTGTTTTTCTTGATGATCTTTTGATGATACCATTGCCATATATTTGATGATTTTTGTTGGGGTATGTTGGTTTTTTTGGCAGTTTTTGGATATGGCACATTAGATGTGAGTGTCATACTGGCATTGAGGTATACTCTCGTTTCTATACCAGGGGAGGATGAGGCTATGTATATAGAAATATAAAGATAGAGAAGAAAGGTAGAGCAGAGCTCAATATACTAACATGAATAGATCTCCTTGCGCACACGCTATGTAACCCTATCCCATTCTATGTATGTGCTTTTGTCCTCTCAGTCCAATAATACCCATTAGGACAGAGAGAAAAGTCTTTATCAAGACCAAACAGAAGAAAAGGAAACAGTATCCCGGAAATTCCATCACAGTATACAAAGTATATAAAAAAAGATCATGAAGAACGATGCTATAAAAACCCAACAAAAAGAAAACAAAGTATCATCATCAAGTCTTCAATCCGTGCGCGAGTTGGCAATGTTCATGACCAAGATATCACTTGCGCCGACCTTAATCAGCTCATCCATTACTGTAGCAATGCTTTTCTTCTCCACCATCGAGCTGACAGCAACCCAACCCTCCTCCTCGAGCGCGGTGATAGTAGGCGCGCGCTTGCCGGGTGTGATCTTGGACGCGACAGACAGCTGGTCACGCGGGATGTTGTATTGGCACAGGACGAACTTCTGTGCGGTGATGACACCGCGCAGACGGGAGCTGAGGAGAGTGAGCAAGTCGCTGTTGGACTTGCGGGACTTGACCAGCACTGCGGTACTGGAGACAACAGTGTCAATTGCCTTCAGGCCAGCGGCCTTCATAGTCTCACCGGACTCTGGACAGAAGATTGGGTATTAGCAACCGGTTCCGGTTTCACAGAGCAGTATTTCATTTTGCCCAGCGGCTATGAAACATACCAACAAGATCAACGATACCATCCGCGACGCCGAGAGCGCAAGCAGCCTCAACACTACCGCCGACATACTTGATCTTCGTGGAGAGCTTCTGGCCAGCCTCGACGCCCTCCAGGTTACGGAAGAAAGCATCAGTGAGGGCAGTGAAGCTGGTCACGACGTTGCGACCAACGAGGTCCTTGGCCTCCTTGAGATCGCCCTTCTCTGGGACCTGCACTTGCAGCTTGCAGGCGCCGAAGCCCAGGTCGAGGAGCTCCTCGACGTTAGAGGTCTCGCCAGCAGGCAGGGTGGCATCATGCTCGGCGACTTGATCGCGGCCAGTGATGCCCAGATCGACGCGGCCTTCGCCGACGAAGGTCGGGATGTCGGCGGCGGGGAGGAAGATCAGCGCGATGGGCAGGTTCTTGACCAGCGCGATATCGAGGCGGGTTTCGCGGCGGAACTGGACGTCACATCCGGCGAGGAGGTCGAGGGTTGCTTGTTGCAGACGTCCTTCTGTATATGGGTTCGCGTCGTCAGTCTTGGGTTCTTCATGTTTATTTCTCATTCATGTGGGTATCGCTGCTGGCAAATGTCTATGAGTCACGATTTGGGAGGGCACTTGCTTTTGGGCACGGCAAAGAGGAGACGGCCTTCGAGGCTGTTTAGGATCGTTATGGTTAGTACGAGTCCCAATGCGGATTTCTACTTGAAATTGACTCACTGGTTGACGAGATCCATGGCGATACAGCGGTGCGGTGCGGGGCTTTCACGGATTTTTGGTTGGGGGATATGCTGATCGGAGGTCAATTGTCAAAGAGATTAAGTCAATTGCAATTCAGATACTGTGGGTGTATCTTGAAGACAAGATAGAACAATTAATATAGTCTGGAGGAGTCAGAGGGACAGAGTGACCGGAGCTTCTTGCGGCAGAAATTGGAGGGGCAGATAACTCCGGTGGACGAATGACGGGACCAGGGGAGCATGTACCGTGTTCGCTGGACAGTATGAGCCCACGTGATGGGATTCTGTGGTGTATGGCTACTTGAAATATCTACAGTTATACTTGGTACAGTCTTCAGGAGTGTTCTTATTGATTTGGCAGAATATTGGCTGTGGAAGCCGTAGTTGTCTAATGATGATGCTGAACGATATCGGAGTTCTAAGAAAATTTGTTCTGCCTGAATCTGCCTTAAAGTGCCTGATCTCTCAGGTGTCAACTTTGTCCGCTGACTCATACGTTGCCTGACGGCTCAGGTGTCCAGCCCTGAGCCCTCGCGTAATTTGCACGAACCCACACAGGCCAAATTCCACTTCAACACTCTCTTACCTTCAGTCCAACCAACACCAACCCTCGAGCTCAACGCCCTCTCCTTCCCTCCAAGATGGATTCCAGCAAGCAGCCCGTTAAGCTCGTCAAGGTGACCCGTGTCCTCGGCCGCACCGGTATGTGCTTTCCCAACTTTTTGAAGCTCCAAAACCCATAATTCGATATTCGATATTCGCGGGGTGCACCCATTGCGCCCCGGATCGCCCAAAACAAACCGATGAATACCAGACATTTGGAGGAATAGCAATGGCTAATTTGCGGTCTTTTATTTAGGATCCCGTGGTGGTGTCACCCAGGTCCGCGTCGAGTTCATGGACGACACCTCGCGCTCCATCATTCGCAACGTCAAGGGCCCAGGTATGCGATATTGAATTCTTTGAATCCGGCGTCTTTTGGGATCACAAGAGGAGGAAGGAAGAACCATATGGGTGTACCTATTCATTCTACAATGAAAAGAGGACCCATGTTGGAATATGAAATTTGGACGATCGACCCAAAAGACGAAAACTTTACCCGAGCCACATCGCTAACATCTATTCCCTCCGCACCAGTCCGCGTTGACGACATCCTCTGCTTGCTCGAGTCTGAGCGCGAGGCCCGCCGTCTCCGTTAAAAATTCACCAAAACGAAATTTCGCTCGCGTCGTCTATTTTGTCTCTCTTCTTCTCTCGCATATCCCTTACGACCGATTTTTCATGATCACTCTTCGGCCAAAATCGAGTCCCCCGCTTTTCTTTCTTACCGTATCTTCAACCTCCTATCTTCCTCAGCCCTAAACCGCCGCGCTGCCCAATCTTTGCCGTCTGCCGACTCTCGAGGGGCCGTTGCTACGATTTCCGACGTTTCGACTGGAGGTGATGGTTTGGGTGGATTGACTTTTTAGTTTTTATGACGCCGAAAGTCTCGGAAGGTCGATTATGGAGAAACGATCGTGAGAGAGAGGAGCAGAGAGCGCAAGAAAGATAATAGAAGCCTTTTTTATTGATACGAGAAAACGAATTCAGGTTCTTGCGCGAGGGCTGGTTTGTGGACTTGTGGCACGGTCTGGTCTGGTTTCGATCTTGGTGTTTTACTACATACACACGTCCATTTAGGCGTGCTTGCATGGGCTCAATGCGACAAACGAGGTTGTGATGTCGTTTCCTCTCTTTTCTTCCTCGTACCAGCTTCTCCCCATTACTGGTACTTAGAAAAGAAAAACGCCGATTCGAACCGGACCCCGATCGGCAAAAAGAACAATGGAATCCGAAAAAAAAAAGTTTGAAAACTTCCAGTTCAGCCTTGTCGAGGTCGAGGTTTTGAAAGCGTTCGTAGAGCATCTGACCAATGTAGTCTATGTGAGTTTCTAGATGAGGATATTCCGGGGCTTAACTGTTGTCTGGGCCTCCCAACGACATGCCTACCAAGTCCAGGTAGACAGTAACTATGCCATGTCCCTTGGTATAGATTTGAAACTCGTCTGTACGTGCTATCCTTTTCAAAGGAAGTCCAAAAGACATCGTAGTGTCGATGTCAAGGACAGGCTGCATAAGCGGCTGACTTTCCTACTCGATTCAAGGTTGATATTGAAAATGGATCTATCAAAGATCATGCTAAACTCATACATATATGTAACTGTACAACCGAAAATGCCCAATACCTCACATAGAATGTAAAACTACAGCTGCTCCGCACTGGCGATGAGCCTATTAAGAAGGCCATCAGCACCAGAAGACTCTCCATCGAGACTACTCTTATCATCAAGGACCCGACTAACAGCCCCAACAAGCCCAGCCAACCGTTTCCGCCGGATAGATTCCTCCAGCTCAGCACTCTTCTGACGGGCGATGTCAATAACAGCGGGGGGCAGGTTCGCCAGGCGCGCAACGTTCAACCCGTAACTGCGATGCGCAACTCCCTCAGCAACCTCATAGAGGAACGTAATCTCCTCATTCCCATCCTTGTTACCGGTCTCCGTGAACCGCATATGGACGTTTCGGAGAGCTTTATCGGGGAAGGAATGCACCATCCGCGAGAGACTCTGGTAATGCGTGATGAAAAGGGTGAGGGATTGGATCGACCGAACCATATGGTCAAGCACCGCCTGCGCGATAGCGACACCATCATGCGTCGATGTACCACGGCCCAGCTCGTCGAGGATAACCAAGGATCGAGGCGTTGCTTGCTTGAGGATGTCCGCTGTTTCGGAGAGCTCGACCATGAAGGTCGATTCGCCGGCGAGCATGTTGTCGAAGGCGCCCATGCGCGTAAAGACCGCATCCAGGAGACCGAGTCGGGCAGAAGCTGCTGGGACGTAGGATCCGATCTGAGCCATAATTGCGATCAGTGCTACCTGTCGCACGTAGCTGGATTTACCGCCCATGTTGGGGCCGGTGACGAGAAGCGCGCGCGTGCCGTCGTGCTGAAGGTTTGTGTCGTTGGGTACGTATGTGTCTGTGAGGAGTTGCTCAACCATCGGGTGTCGGCCCTGCTCGATATGTAGGCCTGCTTCTTCTGTGTATTCTGGCTTGACATAGCCGGGTTGTTGGGCTATGTCTGCCAGAGATAATAGGCAGTCGAGTGTTGCGAGGGATTGGATGCAATCCCGGAAGGACTGGTACTGCGCTGCAATATCAGCTAGGAGGTTTTTGTATGCTTTGTCGCAGGCTGCTGCTAGGGCTTCCTTGTACTGGTCACGCTCGCGGATGAGCCGAATGACTTCAGGTGTGTGGAAGCGGGAGACTCTTTTTGTGCCGCTGACTTTGACCCACGATGCTGGCACGCGCTTGAGTGCCGGGGAATTGTTTTCGATCTCGATCAAGTACTCAATACCGGAGACTGTCGAGTATTCGACTTTGCCTCTCCCAATTGTTGACGCCGCCTCCTTGCGGTGTTCTGAGATCCCGTGTTCTGTGCTTCCAATTTGGAGCTTAAGTTCGCCTATCTCCTCTGTCTCCTCCGCCTCGCGAAAGAAGGTATATTTGTCGTTGGTTCGTGCAGCGTGCATGTTGATCTTATCCAAAAACTTGACAACTGAAGCTCGGATCGTGGGCAGAGAGGCAATGGCCTCGCTCACTAGCGATGATTGAAAGCCAGTCTGGGTAGGTGATTTGATATCGGCAAATTCCATTGCAATCATCTGCATAGCTTGCAGAACAGTGAGAAGTTCGGGTCGCTCGCACTTGGCTCAATATTAGTACAGGTGCGGTCATTATCGCAGAAGTATTACCTACCTTTCCGTAGTAAATGCGGATCAAACTCTTCTCAAGATCACTCTTGACTTTGCGTAGCAACCCTCGCACTCTTTCTACCGGAACCGCTCGCGCAGGATCAATGAGTTCTTCCACGGCATCCGTCCGCTCCTGAAGGCACACTTTGTCCAGCAAAGGTCTTCCAACCCATTGCCGTAACATTCGTTGTCCGAATCGCGTGTGCGTCCGATCTAAGGTCCAAAGTAAACTACCCTTTGTGGAGAGATCCGTCTGGTTTTGGTAGATTTCTAGATTGACCAGCGTGTTTCCGTTTAGAAGCATATGCGAACGAGCTGAGAAGGGCTGGAAGTATTTTGTGAGATCAAACACATGTTGCAGCCCATACTCGGTCATATGCTCGATCATAGCAGACAGACAGATAGTCACCTGCTCTGGGACGCCAAGGACGTTTTGAAGCAACTTCGCAGCTTGAGTATCCTCCTCGGTACTGGTAGCCTTCATCTTTCCTGCGTAAAATCCCGACACATGGCTGTGTGCCTCAGCGGCGGAGGTCTTCTTCCTCTGAGCCCGTTCGAGGCGCACAGCATCCCCAAAAACATTCATTTTGCTTCCAGATAGATGCTGCACGAGCTTTTCGCTAGCTCGAGACATCTCTCCAACAATCAAGATCTCGCAGGGAGCGATATGCAATAGTCGTGTCTCGATCTCGCTCCGCATGAAGCCATCCTCAAAGTCATCATAGATAACATCACCTGTAGCCGGCTGGACAGCAACAATCCCGACATGCACTCGCTCGTCATTCCCGGGGCCCTTGGCATTGGTCTCCGTCATACAGAGCATGTACCCGGTGGCAGGAGAGGCGCCTCCCGCTGCCGGCGCAGGACCCTGCAGACCTTCAGCGTCATCGATATATGTTCCTTTCGTGTAAAGATTGGTCAATTTTCGAACAAACGGCGCATTGCGATTATCACCCGCAGCTTTGAGCGCAGCCGTCTCGATCTGTCGCACCACACCGACCTTGTGGCCGGCTGTAACGAGTCGCTTCACATGTACATGTAATCGGTGCACGGGGATACTAGCCGAAGCAAAACGCCCAATGTGTGCCTCGGATGGATCTGCGGCAAGTCCTGGCATTAGTATGTCTTCGGTATTCCGACACACAGAAAATACTTACGTTCGTCGAATCTGAACTTCCCAGGGATACACACGATGCCCAGCTCCTTGGCCGCAGTGCGCGCATCCTCTCCGAAGAACCGGAATTTGTATCCCACTTCCACAACCAGCACTGTGTTCATATTCTGACGCTTGATCTCAATGACCTGCTTCTCCATGGGCGTGAGCTTGCTCGCGCCCTTCTTTGCACCCTTGCCTTTAGTCTGGGGTGGTGGTGCAGGCTCGTCGTCTTCCTCGGCTTCTGCAGCTTCCGCTTCCGCGAGGGCTGCATCGTTTACTGCGAGTCTCCCAATCCCAACTTGGCAATCTGAGCCACCAAGCTTCCGGACAAATTGTTGGTGCAGTTTCTCCTTTTCCTTCTTCCGCTGTTCTTGCTCTGGGTCTTCCTCCTCTGCAGGGACTGGCGCAACAGCAGGGGAGCTCTGGAATTTGAAGATTCCGGTGCGTTGGCTACTGCTTGCCTGAGAGGTGTGGTCAAAGTGCATGCTTGCCGCAACCCGGATTGGCTCCTCCGCGTCTGTGCCGGTGGTCTTGGCTCGCTTCGGTGCTGGCGCCACGATATCCTCGTCGTCATCGTCATCTTCATCGTCGTCTGCCGGGGTGATATGGTCTTGCTTCGGCTCGATCTTGTTGAGTGGCGACGCTTGCCTTTTCTGAGGTGCTTTGGCTGGGGTCGGTGCGGAGTCTTTGGGCGTAGCCGAGGAAGCGGGTTTCTGAGTAAAGAAGCTGGAGATGCTTGCTTGCTTTCGTTTCAGCGATGGAGAGGGTGCAGAGGATTGCGAAGAATGGGGTGCCATCTTGACGAAAGATGGTTCCAACAGCTCCCGCAGTAAGTATGTGGTGTGCAGTGGGGTTAAACGTAGGGTTTATGGGTTTTGACAAGAGACAGACTTGAATGGAATTCAATGCAATGGTATCTCATCTCAGCTTGATCTCAGATTAGGAATGCTTCAGATCGAGTCCCATGTGAGTTCTCCGCATTTTACTCGGAGCTCGACGCGTAGAGAACGCGCTGGGGCGTTAATTGGTGCTGACTCAGCATTTTCCCGGGCCCCGCCTGGGCAGGCCCAGGGGACCAGAGTGGCGACCCAAGGTCCCGAGATCATCATGCTTGCACGTTGTCAGATATCAGACACAAATGTCCTAGGACTGAGACTATACCCAGTCGTCAGTTGAAGCATCGACTTGAGCCTCGGGGTCTATTTCAATAACAATCTCATTATGAAGATACCCAAGGGGTCCGTGCCATCTCTAACCCCATCATCTGTAGCCCTAGTTTGCAGTGGGAAGCTATTCTTCATTCTACCGATAACAACTTCTGTCAAGTTTGTCTAATAACAAAGAGAGTCTATGTCCATAGGTCCATCTAGGGGGAGTGGGTGTCGACATGACTTAAGGTTTGCATGAGTGAATGTGCCCAGGTGTACATATATATTCAATGTTGTTACTGCTGAGCATAGACGACTACGACTCTAAGAAGGAAAGAGAGAATTATGATAATCGAGGAAACCAACTGCCCTGGAACCATCTCCTAGCTTCGTGTTGACAAAGAAACAAAGCCCGTGGACAGACTACCTGAGCAAGCAAACAAAACCATCAAGCTACATCAAGTGCAACAGTCATTAAGTGCACACGTATCCAGATAGGTAAGACAAGAGACAATGCACAGTCACGAAGGGGACGATGAGAAGGGACCTTCAAGAAAGTAAAAAGGACCCCCTCAGACAATTCTTCACAGGGCAACAGAGGGCTATCTCTGTGGAAAGGTTCCAAAAATTGGCTCAAAGAGCACGGTGTTCAGCTCCTCGTGGGTCAATGGAGTCTCCAGGAAAGTACAGTCTGTATCCACAGAGGCCGCGGGGAGGAATGTGGTCCTGGGCCGCGACATGCTTCGTGCCATTAGACTAGAGCCGAGGCCCCAATCTAGTTTCAGACTAACCTGGACCGCAGCAAAGACCTAATGTCCAGAGGGCGGGAGACTGAACGTCACAGGAACCACGGAGTGCAATGTGGACCCGGAGTGTTGAGGAGGGAAGGAAAAAAGAAAGAGGAAAGAGGGAGGGCAGGTATTTATACCCTGCCAGTGGCCGAAGACGAGGAAAGAACTGGGGTCGGTGCCGAGTTTCGATCCGTGAACCAAACAGGAAGGCACCTGACTACATAGGCTTTCTATTGACGTATAAACTACTTACGTATGTGTGCAGGGCCATACCAAGTGATGCTATCTATTCTTTCTATTCTATTCCTCTCCCAGGTCATCTACATGCTCATATTCGGTCCAGTATCCGTGTGATCATACAAAACCCCACCTATTATGTCTCCTCCAGACACGAGGCCCAACATCAGCACCCACAGTCTCTCGGATCTCTTGGCCACACATGATCCTCCAAGCTAGCACATTATTATCAAGCACCCGATCAACTTACCCTTCAGCTCCCTCTCTGAGAAACAATAAAGTAACTCAACCCAAAGCTTTAAGACCCAATTACTAGCTGTCACCGGTATATAATTTTCCGAGTCAGCGTTGTTCATGTTCATCGATTATTAATGATGGACTACAATGTGAACATTTAATAGAGCTATATCCACCTAGAGTTAAAGTAAAAGAATACATACAATTGAATTATGAAGTGAGATTGGACAATAAACGTCAAAGCCTTGCGGTGGGATGGAAGGGTACTAGCTATGTATACTGGAGACTATGCTGCTGCAAACTGGAGTTGGTAAGAATACCACGTATTAGCACGAGGAATCGGGAAAATAGCCGTTGAGCTGGGAAATACCCCGTGTATCTAACATTTATAATCCCTGGCCACAGGGCTCGACAGAGTGTTCTTCCCCAAACGAATGTGGCCATATCGAAATATGTTGCTCCAGCTGAAGATGCTCACTGGGCTGAAAAGTCAGTAAGCATAAACATACACCTAGAATGGGATTTATTGATAGTAGTAAGAAATAATGGATGTCTAAGCAACTTTGTCTAGTTAGTGGAAACAGTCGAATTACAGAAACAAGCAACGGAAAGTGAAATCGAAGGAAACCCTCCACATTCCTAAAGGATATACATTCAATTCGACCAATTCTTTGATTAGGAGATGTACCTCATGCGAAATGCTACCTCGTGCCAAATGCTTGCAGTTGCATAGTCGGAAAGGCATAAAAATGGCTACATAATTTAGTCATGCTGGTGCTGTCACCGATTATCCAGACACGTCCAGGCTGGGCACCTCAAGTGTAAAGGCCATACCATAGCCTGTTCGCTTTCGGAAAGATTTCATCCGGTCAGGCTCTTCGACGGCATGTCCAGAATCTAGATGTTCAAAAACTCGATTATATTTAGCTCGAGTACAAGCTGTCATCGTTACAAACAATTTCAAAAGACAGCCACAAATGACGTTCATCGAGGGCCAGATCTCGCGGGGGGCGTTGTTGAAGTCAGAACACAGAACCCAACCCCCTCTAAACAAGTTGGGTTGTAGACCGAATGCTTGGCTGCCGATCGTCTCCTGACCGATAGAGTTGTATAGATTGTATCCTTACAGGAAATGCATGATGAAGAAGCGTGCCGCTCAAGATCCGGCACTTTACGATGGTTCTGGTTTCAGACGCGGAGAGAACAGGGACTTGACGAGTGTTCATCATAGATTGAGTGTATGTGGTTGTTGCTTGAGTGATATATGATGTCGCGAGAGGTATTCGTTTTGACTAGTCAGTGAGCCTAGGAGGGCCGCTTGTAGAGGGTCCCAAAAAATTGAAGGAAAAGAGGCAAGAAAACCAAATCGATCAAACAGCCTCAGGGCTAGAAAGGAAGCCCAAGAAGAATATTGCTGGAATTTATACATGGCGCGGAAAACATTCAATACATATACGTGGCACGGAAAAGGTTCATAATGCACATTTTTCATATTGATACTGGCTAATCATAACATTGTACAGCATATCAAACAGCCCAGCAACGTTGGGAAATACAAATGGACACCCATGGATAATCACAACTGATAGAAGATAGCAGTCAGGCGGGTGTCAATAAGTTCTGGTCGTCGGGTGAGCGCAAATCATGGTAAAACTACCACCGTCACTGTTTGGGTTTTGGGTTCTGGATATCCATAACATCTTCGGTCACTTCGGGAAACATCGCATAGCATCACTGTGTCGCAGGGTTGACCAGCAGGTTAGCAGGTTAACCTGGGGTTGATCAACAGGGTCGTGAGATTTAGTTCGCATCGGTAGTCAAGTAGTATGCATGAAAGATCTGGTCCTCTTCGGGGATGGTTTCTTCGGATGGAACTGTCTGGTCCATTGAAAGCCATCCATTCTGGGCTGCAGTATGCTCCTCTTCATACTGGCTCTCATAGAAAGGGTGCTTTGAGGGGGCTTGCAGAGGGTTGAATCGATACCCAGCCTTGTCAAAGCTGTCGTATGTATCACCAAGATCAGAAAAGTATTGGGGGCCGAATCCAAAGTCATCGGGGTCAGAGCGTTTAGCGAATGGAGAGTGCCAACCGTGGGGGCCAATTCGGCCTTGAGGGTTCAGAATAGGCTCAATGTTCTCTTTGGCAACGGATGCGTGCCCAACGCTCGAGGCATGAATACCGGTGTTCGTCTTTCCGTTCAAAACAAGGCGAGTGGGGGTCAATGTATCGAACTGCGTTCTGAATCCCAGTTCCTGGTAAGATGTTTTGCTGTCCTCTTCTTCTTTCTCCTCATCAACAAAAACGTCGAAGCCACCCCTCGGCCGTTTGCCAAAGGTGTTGACAGTAAGACCAAGCTCTTCATCGTCGCCAACATAGGGGTGAATACGGTCTCCTGCACGGCGCGAGCGGCGGGGAAACTTGTGCTCTTCTTTGACCTCTTCTTCTTCCATGTTCTTGCGGTCTTTGTCGGTTCTCTGTCGCTTTCTGTCCGCGGCACGGGGCACGTTGGGGTCAGCTTTGGTCAGACGTGTGGTCCTGGTACGAGCGAGGCCTCGCCTGGGAATCGGAGTCTCTCCTTTGAGTGGGCTGTATTCCTCCACATTACCCGTGATCACACGCTCCGTCAGCAGAGTTCCGTGTGGGGAATAGACCTGTTCTGTTGGCTCCACGAGCGAAGAAGTCTGCTGCATCGTTTTCAGTGCAGCACTATCCTTCTTCTGGTTGCGCCGACGACGCATCTGCACCGTGGCGGAATCAAAAATATCCATGCCTGGCCATAGAACGCCCTTGAGTCTTGCGATCTCTTCAGCTCGAGTCTTGTCCATCTCAGCGTCACCCGATGCCTGCGTCTGATCACCGGAGTCCATAAAAGGATCAGGAGTATCTTTGTTGGCAGTCCATGTTCTCTCCAAGGGTTCCGGTTTGCGTCGGCGCTGTATCGGTGTCACAGGCAAAGCCAACGATCGGCTTTCATCGCCAAGTCCAGAAGCATCAACCGGCTGCAACACGTTTGACTTTGTGCCATTAGAGGATCGCATCGAGCGGAGGATGGGACCCGTGCGAGCTTTCGCATGGCTGTTTGCCATAGGCAATCGGTTTGGCGTGCTTGGCGCGAGGGTCGTACCCGCATGTTGCTGGTTGTCATTGTGAGAATCGGCCAGGCGAGGATCGAGGCAATCAGGGACAGGGGTGGTTGGCATTGTAGGAGTGCTGGAGCCCTCAGGCTCGACAATAGATGCTCGGTTCCTTGCGTGTTTGGTGGTGTTGGATGTCGATGCTTCGTCCGACTTTCTTTTCTTCCGACTTTCTTTGCTGGCCATGCGAGCAGCCAGCTGCTTCGCAAAGCCATTGGCCTCAAACCAGTCGTCATATTGCTTGAGAAGCTCAATTGCGTTAGGATCATCGGTGCGAAGCTTGAGCTTGAAGTGGTTGGCTAGATGAGCCTTGGAGCCAGCATGGGTCAACAGGTGGGAGACATCGCTGAACTGTGGCTGTCCAGGACAGATGCTACACATGAGGGAAGTGTCCATGATCCAAGCCCTGAAGGAAGCAACAACTAAAGAGATAGAATGGGATGCAAATGGAAAGGGCAAAACAACCAAAGTGTCAAAGCCAAGAAAGTGGGTGAACGGAGCTGGTGAAGGAGCGATGGAAGAAGAAAAGGACGTTATAAACACGTCGACAGGGCGGACGATGACTTCTCCCGAGTCAATCAGCTATTGACATCTGAGGAAGGTGCGTCTTTGTCGTCGGTCACGGGTAAATCACGTAAGCCACGGGATGCGATTGAGTCCAAAGAACCTTGGAATTTCAATTCATCTGGTCATCATTATCCTTAGGTACACAATGGGTATGTGCCACGATGTCTTAACAGCTCTTTGGCCATTGTAGGGGGATATGAAGCGGAATAAGTCAACGTGGTCATTATTCTCCTCCCGCATTGTATCCCATAGTCCATAGAGAGTAGAACGTGGGTTATTAGATTGCGGGAGGCTCCAATATGGATCAATTGATTGATCCATCCATCAATCAACTGATGAATTACCCCGCAAGGCATTTGGCAGTGATTGCCTTAGGCATACAACTGTTGATCCGAGTTAGCAAGCCTCACAATAGAAGACCAGATGTATGCCAGTATCTCACTAAACAGCATCTATTTCTTCAAGGCCGTCGAACTTCAATAAGCTGAGCCCTGCAAGGCTGAAGTGTGTGTGATACACATCAACCATATTTCCTGGTCGATCAGCAAAGCCACCAGCATCAGGGTCCTACATAAGGGTTAGCAATAGATTCCACCACACAATTGACAATCGACTCACCTGGCATTGTAGAACAAATGCGGCGAGCTTCTCGCCATCGATCCAATGTAGACGGTCGATCATGGCAAGGCTTGATCCAACCCACCAGCTGTAGCACGCATCTGCAAGCTTCTCTGGTCGACCATTAAAACCACCGCTTTCGATCTGGCGTTCGCTGAGCCAAGCTCCGAGGCGATCCTTATTCACCAAATCCAAGCGACCAGCGATGGCCAACGCACCAACGCAAGTGAACACCTGGCCAGCATGGGACTCGGCCCCGGGGCGAATACCATAAGCTCCATCCAAGTTCTCACAACTTTGAATGTGAGAAACAGCTTTGGGGACATCGACCAGGTCCATTAGACGCAATAGCGACAATGCATTGAGGGCACCATATAAGAATCGGGTATCTGTTTCGCCCCATTGGTCTCCCATGAAGGAGCCATCTGCATTCTGTAGGTTTGCAATAACTGTAATGGATTAGTAGTCAATCACTTATATCGGTATGAGGGAATGTCATACAAGACCCAACTTTCTCCTTGCCGCCTCGGCCCCGCTTGTCGAGTTCATCAACAGCATCGATGGTTATGAGGATCTGAACGGCCGAAACGGTGTATAACATATGGGAATCATGACCCGGGGCAGCACCGAAGCCTCCATTATCACTTTGGCACGAGAGAACGAAGTCGATCGTCTGATCTCGAGGTAACGTGTCCGGATGACCTAGAATATATAGGGCTGTGAGGCCCCAGTAAACACCATTTAGTCGTAGGTGCTCAGTGAGCCAATATTCCAGCTCATCTTTCCTCTATGTTGGTTAATCATCGTCCCAGGATTTTCTTTCAAGGAGCACGCACGCACAGTGTCTAAGTTCTTAATGTAAGTCACGTGCTTAGAGGTGTGTAGGTCAGAGTCTGTGAGGGTACCCCCGGCTCTACCAGGGCCCGATACTAGAGCCATGTTCTTCCAACGTTAGAATGATGGTTGATCAGAGGCTGATTTTGATTGGATATGTAGGGATGTGCAAGTTAGTAAGATGGAAGGATCACGGTGCTTTTGACACTGTTAGATAGGGCGGTGAACAGCAATCTGATTTATGCAAATTGAGAAAAGAACGAATGCGGTTAGCTTTAGAATTTCTGTCCTGGATGTATCGTTATCGGAACTACGTTATCGGAATCACGTGGTTTCGGTTAATTTCAATTATGTGAAAGCCCTATGTACAACATACGTAACTAGAGGAAGGTTCTGTTACATTCGAGGCTAAACTTTGCGCCCGAGGTTTATTGGTAGAAAAACACAATACCCACCCGTGCATGACGCCAAAAGCACTGTAATGAGGCGCTAGTTGGCATCTCCAGCCATGTTTCAGATTGGATGGAACCTCAAGTGGTATGGAGCGAGGGCGGTGTGGAAGTCAACCTTGAAGGTTTGACAGAATAGTACATAATAAGGATTCTATACATAGTCATGGTATAGTAGAGATTGTCCCGTATGTTCTATGGAGAGCATTAATATAAAACACAATCAAAAGGGTTATACAATATCCATATTTATCCTCTGTGCTGGAGCTAATGTCCCCGAGTATCGTCAGCGTTGTAGCTCCGAGTCTTCCCATGTTATACAAGATTCTTTTGGCCGACAGTGCACGCTGTATCACAATGTAGGCAATGGAAACCTCTTTGGTTCAAAAATTGCCTCTAAAACAGGAGATCCTAGTGGAGGCAGTCATCCATGGATGATCTGAGGTCTTTATCGGTAAGCGGGAATATTCCGTATGAGTTCCAAGGTTAAACCCGAGACCAGGCCAAATTAATTTATAAAAAGTGGACGCGGACACTTTGGACACGGACACATTGGTGCATTTACTTAGCTCTTACCCCTAATATGTAGAAGGTCTCCGTTAAATAGATAAAGTAATAGTTATTACCTTAGATACTATGATAGATGGACTATATGCACCTGTATAGTACTCTATCTGCATATGCGACCATAAACAATCCAAAGCACAACCATGGATCTTCCGGCAAGGGAAATCAGGTACTGATTTATTGTACTGTGACTGGCTCTCCGATTAACCAATGACAGGCCACACCCACTGCAACGTAAGGCAACACATTCCGTGGCTCTGACCTACAAAAGTGGAGAGCTCTGATCATTCGTGTGCTCTGTTCACTATACGGAGTAATCGTATCAAGTACTCCGTACATTCGGACTAGACAAATAGAATCTAATCCCGTGAAGCTCCAATATCTGAGTGTGTTTCTTTTTTGGGATGACGCGAATGTGAATCGAGTGAGCCAAATGGTATGAAGTTGACAAAGATGGACGTTTATGGACATCCATGATGCTAATCCACCGTCAGACTCGGATCATCCAAGCGAAGGTGTTCCTTGGGTCAAAGTGACAAAGTGACGTTTCGCCCTTCAGGGGCATCAGATCGAAAATTTAAAAAAAGATATTCCCCTTTTTTTGTTCTGTACAGAATTATTTAGGTGCCTAAGTAGAAAAAGAGATAATGAGAATGTGGAACGGTTTCAAGTCCTCCAAAGACCCAAAAAAACAATAGTTAGCTGGTTATAATTTTGGATATGATCTAATAATTATGACTTCTATCATATATACTAGCGTGGCTTGATCGTGCTCGGACTAGTGTACCGCTAAGTCTATTGGGAGAGACTTGGACTTTGGAGACTTTTTTTTTTTTTGGTTGGTCTACAGTGTTCTTCAACAATTCTTCACCTTTTATAACTCTGACAACTTTGACCCCCTACATAATACATCATACCTCTTTGAAATTGAGTTGTTTCAATGTCCTTTTGACCTTGATCCACACAACTCCTATCTCGCCCCTTCCGCCCTGCCGATCCTTGACCTTCGAAGCGCCCAAAAAGAGGGGGGAAGTGAACTTGCACTGAACAAGTCCCGGTCTCATAAACCTGAAGGCATCGGTGGAAACAATTGAATTCATAATATGAGTTGGTGAGTGATCTGCTGAAATCAGGCAAACCCGTTCATTGTTTCTGCGATTTCGTTCATGGCCTCTGTCAACAAAGAGTCGAGGTGTGGCTTCTTTTAACTCGGGGTTTGCTTGCATATGTCACCTGCGGTCTCACCTCTTGTCTGCTTTTTTGACACTTCTTCTTCCTTTCACATGCCTCTGGTTTTGCGCTGACTCTATGACTGGTGCTTCAGATTCCGCATCCTCGATACTTCGTTTGATCCATACTACTTTCGTCATTACATTTGACGCCTAGGTAGACAACATTTCGTCTCTCCTTGTACTACTCAGCTTCGAAAGTCGCTTCGTCCCCCACCACACGGTCAGACCTCGAGCATTGATACCCGTACGAGCCTCTCAGCCGCATATGTGACTTGGGTTTCAGCGCTGGCTAAATACACATCTAGCAGCCCAAGGATCAATCCATCTGAAGCTGTGACGGGGCCTACAACCCACAAAGCCTTGACCCCCTGACATTCCCATACATCCTGGACTGGCTCCAATTGCCGCCCGACATGTCAAACCGAACTTCAACAGTGCCCAACCTCGATTTGAGCTCGTGCAAGACCGAGCCGAACAAAGAGAAGGTCTCATCGCCTGTGACGCCAGGTGACCACAGCTCAGACGGACCGAGCCCCTTAACACCACGTTCGCCCAAATCTGCATCGAGCTCTCCACTCTTCAAAGGTGCAACAATTCGCCCTGTCACGCAGGACTCCGACAGCAAGGCAACCAGCCCTATTCTCCCACTTTCTCCTGGCGCGGGCCCTGCAGAGCCTACGACACCCGGTATCACAGCCATTCCTCAACATTTCCCTTCTCCCAAAGACTCAAGACATACGCGCGATGCCTCAAGATCATTTTTCGGTAACCTCAAAGCACCGAAATCATCACACAGGCCACAACATTCAGATAGCTCGGAGAACTCCACCGAACATTCCAAGAGCAGAGGCAGCTCCAGAGACCGGAAGACAGCAATGACTTCGAAACAATACGAGTCAACACCTGATCTTCCAGGGGCACTTGCCCGTGCGAATGGATCCGAAAAGACTAGTGAGTTTCCCTCGCCAGCTACGGATCATATCTAACAGAATAATCTACAGATGAACCCTCAGGCGACAATAATCCGCAGCAAACAGGCACCAAGAAAGTCGGTACGGATCTAGAAGGCGCCGCGCCGAAGAAAAACAAACCACGATTTGCAAACCTTTTGACCCGATCTCGCTCCATT